CCTCCCTGAATGGTTTCTGAAATTTCGTTCTGTTTGTTTAACGAGTCTTCTCAGGTGGGGAGAGATCAGTTTCTCCAACAGGGTGTCAGCCTCTCAAGAGTTGGCACGGGTCCTGGGGTGGGCTGTGTCCATGCTGACCCTTCTAGCACTGTGCTGGGCCTCCCTTGCCCCCTGGGGTGCTCAGAATTTTTTCCCCTTGGAGTGGTCTCTAGTCCAGCTACCTCCTGCCCTGAGCAGTTTGGGACTGTGCCATGATGGCAAGTAGAGTCGAAGTGTCTGGGGGAGATTGTTTATTCTTTGAGGGGGACAAGGAAGTCATGATACCATCTACAGGGCTGGGCCTATAGGGGAAGGGGTGGTGGTGGGTAAAGGAATCCCCTAAATGTTGGGTAGAACAGCGGAAGACCGAAGTTTTAGTGAGTAACCCACACCTCCCCTCAGCACTTGGTACTTCCCAGAGCCCTTTCACATTCCACATCTCCCCAGGCCTCTGAGGTAGACAGGGTGGGGATTATTTTCCTTTGAAACACAAAGAACCAGATACAGAAAAATTACTTCAGGACACAAAGCTAGTGACAAAGTCAGGAGGCTCTCTGCTAGGAAGGATACCAGTGAATTTACTTTTTCAAAGAGAAGCTTGCATGGTTTGCAATTTGGTAAAAAACAAACAACACAGAGTGCAATATTTAGAGGAATTTAGTGCAATATTTACTAACAGTTTGGGATTTGGGTGGGAGCAGGTCCATTAATATCAACAGTTTGGGATTTGGGTGGGAGCAGGTCCTTTGCAAATGGCCTAATGATGTTAGTAAGTGACAGCAGCAGGAGAACTAGAGAAAAACAGTATGCTGAAAACAAGAGTTTTTCTGAGACCTTCTTTCCCTCTTTGAGTTGAATGGCTCAAGATGCTTCCAGAAAAGGTGTGCTATTATTGATTTACACTTTAGTGAGATATTAGTTATGTCCTTTTTTTCCTCTTAGGGCTATTTTTACTCTAGGCCCAGGTTCAATTTGTGAAGTAAGTCCAACTTTTTCAGCAGTCCCAACTTTTTTGGCACCAGGGACCCTTTTTCATGAAAGACAATTTTTCCACACACCAGTGAGGCAGGAGGATGATTTTGGGATGATTCAAGCATGTTACATTTATTATGCACTTTATTTCTATTATTATTACATTGTAATATATAACGAAATAATTATACAACTCACCATAGGTTGGGGGCCCCTGCTTTAAATTATTTTCAATTTAAGTCATTTGGGAATGGTTTATTTCTGAGAAAGGCCTTCTCAGCATCCTTGGAATCATACTGAAAACATCTGTAGAACCATCTTGAGCTTCTTTTTTAAAGAGGAGTGTCAATTACTGTCCAAAGGACATGTCAAATAATCTCCCAGACCATAAAATAATCTCCCAGACCATAAAATCATTTCTTTCCATCCCCGTAGTTGATGACACTGAGTCCAATTTGTCTCACTTCTCTTTCTTGTGAATTTAGCTTTTTTGGAAATTTATTCTAGAAAGTGGCCACCACTGGGTGCCTTTTTGGCCAGGAGTTTCTCCTTCATCCTAGAGCTGGGATCTATAGAATGTCAACGGTTCTGTATCCCTGGGCTATAAAAATGGCCAGAGAGGCTTGGGTAATGTCTGGCCCATGTGCCCTGTGCTGACTATTTTTTATGGAAAGTATGTCCATTCTGCCATCCAGCAGCAGGGTCTGGCTGGCACTGTGAGCCTGTCAGGCCTACTACTTAGTTTGGGGTCCATTACAGGGAAGTAGCCCACTGCTGAGCTAATGAACTTGAGCCCCTATGTGACACAGGAGCTAAAGGCTTTACACTCATTATTTCATTTAATCCTTATAATAACCTGGGAAGTAGATAATCACCCCAGTTTTAAAGCTAAGAAAAACAAGCAGAGAGAGAAAGACAGTAACTTCCCAAGGCCACACACCCGGTCAACTGAGCTGGATTTCAAGCAGGGCAGGTGGACCTCGGCCCTCACTCTTAACCAGAATGCAACGCTGCCTCCAGCAAACCACCGCAAGGCGGCGCCCTGCCCTCGTACACGCCGGTCAGAAAGAGATGTGTTTTATTTTTCCACTTGGGAAGGTGTGGGGTAGGGCATAATTCATATTCTTTTTTCCTAGCGTTTTCTTTCTGTCCAGATGCCAAGGCTCCTTCAAAATCGGTAAGTTTCAGACCAATGTAAATGTCTCTACCAGTATAGGTCATGGTAACTCCAGGTCTAAACCTACCCCCTTCCGGAAAGAAGACAGCACACTGTGAATAAAATGGCATTTTCAATAGCAGGAACCAGATTTTCCTTCCTGGGGTAGTAAAAGAAAGAATTAGTTTTAAGGAAAACTAAGAGAAAGCTTGATGCTTCGACCGCCAAGGATGCAGCATTATAATTAAACAGATTATTGGTGCACATGGTCAAAGCATATAACAGGAATTTTCTTCATAAGTTGTGGATCACCCAAGCCATGTTTTAGATATCAGGGTAAAGCTCAGAGAAGTCATGGGTTCATTTTTCTTCTTTCCATGTCATCTGACAAGTGGCAAAGCAATTGTGATACAATGTCATAGGACAAAGGCTCCAGATCTACTGTTGACAAGTGACACCTGGGACTTGTAGGGCTAGAAATTCCTGTCCAGCTTCCAACACACCTAAGTGTGGATGTGTGATGAGGCCAGGCACCATATAAACAGGCACCCTTGGACTGCTGAGCATGTGAAAGGCAGGAAAAATAAGTATAAAAAAAATCTTCACTCCGTCTGAGAGAATCAATAGCATTTTAAGTGTCTAACAGACAAAATGTGACAGCAGCAACAACAGATATCAGCAGTCAACTCAGAGTCACTGAGGTCTGTGCGGAGTGCCTGTGGGCTGAAGGAGGCAAGCCGGCTTGGTCTGCCCCACTCTATTTGGAGGGCACCTGGTGCAGGTGCCCAGTGGGATGGGCCACTGGAGCAGGCCCCTGAACTGTGACGCCCAGGACCATGGCTCATCAGCGCAAAGAAGAAAATGTGGTAGAAAACTTTAGGGGAGGAAGGAAGGGAGGCAGGAAGTTGAAAATACAACTCAGGAAATCCAGAGGCTCCAGGTGAGGCCCAAGGGAGAAGATACAACGGGGTTCAGGCCAGGTTACACCGTAGCAGCAACAGAGCTTAAGTGCACATTACATTTAATTTCCAATTTCCTTGACCGCTTTAACTTGCTGCTTTAAATCTAGGAAGCATCTGGGGAAGCCAGGTGCCCCACCATGCAGGGCCTGCTGAAGCCTTTTTTTTTTTTTTTTTTGTTTACAAAAGATGATTACAGACATCAAAAAGACAAATTTGGGAGTAAAATATGTGATTTTTTTTTTGTTTTTTTCTTCTGTTTTGTTTTGTTTTTATAAATGTGTGTCTTTTTAAAAGCTTCCCAATTGGTTGTGACAGGCAGCCAGGGTAGAGGAACTGCCCTAAGCAACTGTAAACCCACACTTTATTGGTGAGTAACACCTTAGGAAGGGTGGGTTAAAGCAGGATCTAGGATCAAAGAAGGGACAGGAAGCAAGGAGAAGGACACGGAAAGGACAAAGGAGACTGTCCAAAAGGCAATTTCTGAATTTTCAAAAAGCAAACCAGAAGAAAATCCATCATTTGCACCATCTTATTAAAGGGACTGTTGGTGCATTCATATATATATATATATACAGTGAGACATGCCTTGTAGGTGGGATGTGTTCTTTCTCCAAGTCTCTTATGTCCTCACTTCTTTTCATGCTCCGATAATGGCCCAGCTCTGGCATTTCCAGTTCCACTGACCCTAGGAAGTACTGTCTCCTGCCCATCCATGGTCAGATGGGCAAGAGGGTTCGTGAAATGACCTCAGGGGTCATCTAGGAGAACAGCACAGCTTTGCTCTTCATGCCAGCTGGGTGTGCACATGTGAACACGCATGCATGTGTGTAGTACCACCCAGGCTAGCCCATGCCAGGGGAGAGGCACACAGAATGGGCAGCAACAGGAAATAATGATCAGACTTTTGGTTTGAAATTTATTTCTGGTATTTCCCACCAGCTCTTCTTTTCTTCTGTCTACCCTCCCCTACCACACCCGCCCCAATCTGCTTGTTTAGACAGCCAATGATTATAATAAACCAAGAGTTTTCCCTAAGTATGTTCCCATTCAGAGCAGGGGAAAGGTACCATCTACTTTTCATATTAATCCTCCCATGAAATGTGAGAGTTGGCTGTGGTATAATTGCTAATAAAAACTATATTAAGGAAAAAAAATCATCTCTGCAAGGCATTCTGCTTATAATTTAGTTCACAAGAGCAGGTGCTTTTAAATGCATAATTAACTTAAGGCTGAGTCCTCCTCTAGCCAAACAGTCTCTCTCTCCATTCTTCCCTGAAAGGTGGAGACTGCAGTCTTTCCCTCCCACCTGCAGTCCTCCCAGGAAATATTTCAAAGTCCCGTCTGCTTTACCGAGTGTCCATGCCAACCCAGAGATGGCTGTTCTGCTACCTGGTAGTCACCCAAGTCACGTCCCTGAGAAACAAATGGGGCGATGGAATAAGTTGCATTTGCTTTTCCATAAAAATAAATCAACATAATGTGAGCCAGTCTTCTTTCCGATTTAACAGGGCATGAAGCTAGTCTGCTGAATGAGGGCACATGCTATAGTAAGTACTTGAGCACATCACTGACATCAGCAGAAAGGTGACTATCAATTGGCTTAATTGCTTCACCCATGAGCAGGAAAAAAAATACTTAACTCCTGCTGCATAAATAGATGCCCATCGTCTAATTTAAGGTTAGCTCTTTCGTCATTTTTATTTTTCAAGTTTTTTTTTATTAGCATGTATGTAGTGAAACTTTATTATAATGCTAAATCTAGTTCCCAGGTCTCCCTTTAGGGAGATTTTCCCATTAGCATCAAAAGTGTGGTGATGTGTACCTACTTGGTAGTATTTTATAGATTTCACAAATAACTGAAAGAAACACACTTTCATCACAGAGTTAAAATATTTAATGACAAAATTAGGGTTTGCTGTCATAGTGAATCAATAGAGCAGGTGTCACTTGTCTCTAAATTAAACAAAAATTATATTTCACATCTTACAGAACTTCTGGAGAATAGCTGTATAACAGACATCAGCAATGTTACAATTCTGAAAATGAAGAGCAAAACCTATCTTTAATATCTTTTATTTAGGGAATCCTGTAAATATTTTTATATAAATACACAACCTTTGCTAGCCACAAAAGTAGTATTAAAACAGATTTCACTGTAATTTTAAGTCTAACACATAATTTTAACTATTTTAAGAGTTTAAAAAAAGTTAACTACTGATGTTACATTTTACAAATACATTCTTTAATATGAAACATTAACCTGAATAACTGCATACTTCCTGTACACAGATACCTAATAATACTAGTGAGGAATACTACAGCTACGTTCCAGGAAGAAGCGGTAACACTGGAAAGTTTCTTTTCTTTATGTGTTATCAATATAATTTGAGAAATCCTTCACAGAAATACAGTATCCCCCAAATTCATAGTGAAGTGCAGAAATAAAACAAACTGAAATTGTCTTCTAGCAAGCTCAACCAAATGGGTCCTAAATGATGTGAGTTATTTTAGCAATTTTCTCTAGGTTGGAACGTAATATTTGCACCGAAGCACCTTCTACAAAAACATAGCAAAGAACTTCACATGTGTTATCCCAGGGCTCCTCTGCCAGAGGCTGGGGGGTGGAGGAGGGGCAGGGACTGCTGTTAGTGCCTCTCTGCTGGTGGAGACCTACGCAGGACTTGGACTCAGGGAGGTCAAGGGCATGGGCCATTCTTCTAATCCAGGCTATTTCCAGTAACAGTTAGGTCTAAAAGGATAAACAGAGTGAGGGCAATATGTGGAATATTTACATATATGATAAGAGTAACTATCACGATTCCACCAGGGAGGAAGGCTCTCAGATTTCACAGTATGCTTATGACCTCACCTTCTGCTATTTCAGAAGCAGCTTCCCAAGCACTGTTGTTAGACAGTTGGCAACCAATTTTATTCTTGAGTTTGGCTGATTATCAAGGGGTTTTAGATTTACCCTTTCAATTATTTATACCAACTATCTATTTCTGAAACCAGAATGCAATTTGGGGAGATGAATATTTCTCTCTCTTTGTATGTGTATGTGTATGTGTGTGTGTATATGTTTTCTGAACAGAGGTCTGCACACAAAATCTGTTTGGAGTGCTATTTGGGGCTTTTCTTAACAATTATATAGTCTTCTAATGGTACCCACCAAATGGCATGTTGTTCCTTACTTCTTTAAACTTTTAAGACACTAAAAGTATAAAATATTAAACTTACATAATTTACTATATAAATTTTACAGAGTTTTTTTGAATTGGATCATCTTTAAGAGGATTCAGCCATTTGTCTCCAGCAAGTCCCATCTCCCTTTGGACATGCACTGCCTACAATATTTTTTCCCCTAATAGACTTTCTGTCTCCTTGGGAATGCTTTATCAGGAGAATTCAAGCTATTTAAATGAGCATTAATTATCCAAGAGTCATCTTACGCTGCTATGTAAGAGGCTATAGTATAGTATAGACTTTACTGGCTCAATGGATAGGAAGGAACAGAAGGGGTCCTGACAATTCAGGCAGCTTAAAAATCAATGCACCGCAGTGGGAGGCCCACAGCGTGCCTAAGATGTGCAGCCTGCCTCCTTTTTCATTAAGAAAAAGAACAGCTTTTTTAGGTTTAGCATTTTAACACTCTAGGAAACAAAACTTCTAGACTCTGAACCCTACACAGAAAATCAGGAGGAATGTGACCAATTTTATTTAATCTGCCTGGAATGCAAAGGCATCACGACTGTGGTGTTTTATGTCATATTCAGCAAGTTGCAATTGCCATGAAATGCAATTTGTCAAGAAAGCCACATGTTAAATTACATTAAATAAATAAACAGCAATAACAGCATCAAAACCTCCAAAACTCAGATACCAAAATATTGAAGGCCCTTTCCCAAGGACATTGTGAGGTTGTCTCTAAAATAGGCACGACTTTGTAAGACAAGAAAAAAACATTTTAAATGTAGTATGTTTTCACATTATCATTGACACAGACCTTTATCTGGACAAATCAATTTTTGATAAAAAAAACCACCTTTCAATAGCAGCTACCACAATTGGGGCAATGACAAAAGAGACAAACATCCATGAATACACAGAGGGTTTTAAATAGGCTTTTCCTTAGGTTTTTACTCTCAAATTTTTATCCTTCATATGATAATTCCAAATAATCAGCCTGGAAGCAACAGCAGGAGTATTTAAACTGTAGCTCAGAAAGCAGATTTCTATCTGTGATTCTGATTTGTTTTTTTGAATGCTGGTGATGGTTCATGCAAAAAGATTACTACGTAAAGGGCAAAGTCTAAGATTGCTATTTCCATGATAAATCCACTGTTTTCCATAATATAGAATTTTAACCTTCAAATTAGGAGCAGCTAGAAGAATGAGTGAAACCAATCACTGCTTGACTTTTATTTTCATCCAGGAACAATAGCATCTGATGTCTTCCTGCTTAGTATCAGGGGAAAAAACTACATGTTGACAACTTTGACCTAGCTCCGTTTATCATTTGGTCCAAATTGCATATTCAAACTACAAAAAAATTTTTTTCAAAAGGAAAACACATTCAAACACACATACACACACGCACAGGGGAATAAAAACAAAACCAAAATGAAGCTGATGCTATTGTAGCATTTCCTAGCAAGATCATTAGGGAAATGTATAAACACAACACCTTTTCTTTCATAGTAACATTTGAAAAGGAAAAACAAAAATACTCTAAATGTCCAAATATTGGAAAAAAAGAAGCAAGCGGAAGTCCAGAATTCTTGTAAAAACTGCTGAACAAACTCTTCCATTTCTCTTAAGAGGGTCACCAGGATGGGCAGTTTCTCAACATTTGTGCTTCATGGCAAGCTAAGGAGAGAATGAGAAAAGTGAGACCTCATTAGCAGGGAGACTTCACTGGGCTGCTCCCTCTCTTCACATCCACAGTGAGAAGCAGCACCAGGCTTCTACTCTGTGTGGCAGATCACCGTTACTGTTTTTACAGTGGCACCTAGTAAATATGCAACCTGTTCTCAAATTGTTCATTTAACATTGCATGCGTTACTCTTGCTTACAGTGATTTTGTTGGTGCGTGGGTCCAGGTGGGAGAGAATGCTGTGTGGTCTTTCATCCCACTGGAGGAACAAATGGAAAAACCAATGCACAGGCAGGAGCAGCAGCTGGGGTCCTCACGTTTCTGGTTATCCAAAAAAGCTACACTCCTAAAATGTCAGTATTTACTGACATCTCATGAAATATTGAAAATCAATAGCTTGTAGAGAGACAATCTGCAATAATCTACTCCACATCCAGCCTGGACATTCTACCAAGTCCAAAGCACCTGACCATTTAATTGTGTTACTAAGGCCGAGCAATAGACCAAATCCAGACTTTAACTTATTCCTTCCCCACTGGTGTTTAACAAAGGTGGTCTATTGAAATGTTAGATCTTTATAAATGGTAACATCACATACCACTGTATCATTCAACAGTTTCCCAAGCCCAGCTGGAGCCCATGATGAGGTATTTAAGGAAATTATATGCAGGTACAGAACATACAATTAAATCTGTCTTTGCTTTTCTCAGCCAGTTCTTTACCAAGGAGCCCATTCACTGATGAACAGAAGGCTAACCGAGGCTGCTCCTGTTTAGGGATTAATCCCCGTGGTTGGGGCTGGGAGCAACTGGGGTTAAGGTTCTGAGGCTCAGAAATCCTTGAGGAAAGATATGAGGGAAGAACAGGGGATTCTATGTAGGTGATAACTTTGTAGAAAGCCCTGTCATCTGCATCCCGACCAGACCATCTGCCTTTTAAGAATAAGACAGAGCCCACTGATTCCACCCAGTGGTGCTCTGCATCATTCCAGACGATGTCAATAACCCCTTCCTCCAGCAAATCCCAGGGCAATCTGAGTCCTTCCTTTTTCTTCTTGATGTCTTTGACAAAGAAGTTTTAACCCTGGGATGCCATCTCAGCTAGGCCACCAGCAAAAGCACCAGTGCCCCGGCCAGGCCTGTATGTGATGGAGAGAGAGGCCTGTGGATCCACCCTCGTGTGGATTAATCTCTGCTTGGGAAGCCTCAGCTGAAAGAGCTCCTGTTAGTTCTGTCTGGCAGTGAAGACCTCCAGAGACCTGCTGCAGTGCTGATGCTGACAGTTGTCAACTGTCAGACACAGTGTTTGTGAAGTTCTGAGCATGCCCAGGCTGCCATGCCGAGTGCTGTGGGCTTTTGCCAAGAAGGGTAGAGGTGGCTAATGACTCCTGACCTCAAAGAGTTTACAGTCCAGGAAACATGGTTGGTGCAAATGGCAGAGCCAGGGCTCTACCTCAGATCTGTGCCACCCTTGGCCACACACTGAGCCCCACCACTATTTGGTCCCCCCGTCTTGCTCTGTCTCTAGTTCTTATGCATTATTCAGCAACATGGACCATCAAATCAACACAGAGCTGTTAAGTGTTGTGCATAATAAATATCAACCATAAATATTTGATCAGTGCTGCTGTCCTGGTATTCATTCAGCTGTTAACTTTCTGCTAACAGGCTCGTGCCAAGTTACCACTGACATCAATCTTCAGCAGTGATTGTGCTGCTGCTCAAACCAGACCCTGGATGCCATGACAGTGCGTCAGGAATGGAGCTAAGAGGAGCCCCTGGGCCATGATCACTAAGCTTTGCAGAAATACAGCTGGATTGGACATTTTGCTACTTGAGGTATTGCCATGGTCTGAATGTTCCATGCTCCCCACCCCCAAATTCATATGTTGAAACCTAACCCCTAAGATGATGGTATCAGAAGGTGGGGCCTTTGGGAGGTGATTAGGTCATGAGGGGAGAGCCCTTGTGAATGAAATTAGTGTCCTGATAAAGAGGCTGGCCAGAGACCCCTGTCCCTTCCACCACAGGAGGACAGGGTGAGAAGGTGCCATCTATGGAACAGGAAGCAGGCCCTCGCCAGACTGAATCTGCCGGTGCCTTGATCTTATACTTCCCAACCTCCAGAACTGTAAGAAATAAATTTCTGTTGTTTGTAAGCTACTGAGTTTGTGGTATTTTGCTACAGCAGCCTAAACAGACTAAATAAGTGGCATCGTTCTAGTTCTTTAAAAATTCCCTGGGAATTAGGAGCTTTAGAATATGGAAGGCAGGAAGACAGGGCAGAAAGAGCACTGGACGCAGTGAGGTCAGGACACCTGCTGCTACAAATCTGCTGCACGACCTTGATCTCTTAAGTCACAGCTGCTCCATACCTCAGCTTCCTCATATTTCTGTAAAACAGTGTTCAACTCTAAATGCTGATGGATTTGTTTAGGTGTCACAGTTCCCAAAGCAGTTTAAAATGTCCTTTTGAGATATTTTGTTTGCTTCGTATCTCGTGGGAAGCCTTCTCTTTCAATGCTATGTAACCCATTCCACCTAAATAATGATAACGAAATCGTGACTGATATCCGGGAGATACTTTAAGAGATCTGAGTTCTTGAGGTCGCTTCTGGCCTAAAGACCCAAGGGAAGCACCTGACTATAGGATGGATAGAGACAGCCATTCCCTCCCAGTGAGAGAAACACCACGCTCCCCTCCTCCCCCACAGACGTAGGCTTGTGCAAAACAAGGCAGATCAATGTTCTTTTCTGCGAGAAATGTCATTTGAGGATGCCTAGGTGTGGGTAACGCTTTTGCCTGCTGACTCACTGCCCGTGGCAGGCCATCAAAGCGCTGCACACACCACAGCTTCGTGCTTTTGGGGGCAGGGTGCAGTGAGTGAGCTGCTTCTGTGGTTGAGCTGCGCTTTCCTAAGGGCTGGGACTGTGCCAAGCCCACAGCTCGGGAAGGGACCACACTTCCGCAAGCCGGGTGAACTGGATCTGGGGGCTGAGGGGGCCGAAGGATCATCGTCCTTTTGCTCTGGAGAGGACGAGCACCGACCTATCTAGAAGGCAGCGTTGTACAAAAATGATCCATTCACTCTTGTACCTGGATCATTGCAGGAGTCCTGGGAAAAGCTCTCAGCCCAAAGATCCTTTTGAACTCCAGCCTAGAAAGGTGTGCCATACTCTCCAGCTGGGGTTGGGTGCCCTTATTTAACCAGGAGCTAGGGGAGGTTGTCACCTGGAATGGCTGTTCTCTGCTCACGACTCTACCATGTGCACTGTGCCTCCCTGTAAACACGGCCCTCTCTTTGTGAGTCTACAGAGCCACACCTGTCTGGGGCAGGGGGTTGGGGGGAAGGCCTGATTCCATCTCTGAACTCTCCCCTCACCAGCAGGTCTGGCTGGGACCTGGCCGGTGAAATGACCTCTTTGTGGCCTGCCTACGCTAGCGGGTCCAAATCAGGAATTCCAGTCCCTGGGAAAACAGTCACACCTTATCTAAAGAGGTCAGCCTGCTCGTTAGGAATGCTGCCAATGCCAGTGATTCATAGGCACACATCCCAGCTTCAGAAAACTGCAAGTCTGGCTATGACACGGTCTCTCTCACCCTCCCTCATACCACTAACAGCCACCAGCAGGCCCTCCCGCTCTCCCTGAGAACATCGACAGGAGGGGAAGCCAAAATAAATACAAACTGCCCGTGCCTCGAACCTCTCTACTGAAAGCAGGTAACTGCCTGGCATGGATTCTCACCCTGGTCAAGCCAGAGGCCCCTTTTCTTTGCTTTTGGTAGCCTCTTAAGTTCTGACAGGTCCTATTTTGAGGATGCCCTGTGTTTAGATAGTAACATCATTTAGCAGAGAGCCCTCTCACCCCTTTCCCTTAGAGTTTGGAAGGCACAAAATCTTCCCCTCCATTTCTTCCCTATCCACGTGCTGAGGACCCTCAAGCGCCAGTGAGGATTCTCCAAGCCCCTCACTCTGCTCCTCATGCGACTGAATAGGGCAGGTTCAGCAGAAACAGTTGTTAGAGAACTAATTATAAATAATAGCAATTCAAATGTGCTACATATTATGCTAAGAGCTTTGAACATATCCAATTCTCTCCACATCCTAGGAGGTAGGTACTATTATTAATTAGCGCTATTTTACTGATGAAGATACTTACGCTTAGAGAAATTAAGCACTTGCCCAAGGTCACTGAGATGGTAAACGACAGAGCTGGATTCAAACGCAAGATATTAACTACTATACCATATTACTTTCCCAGCTACCTAGCACACTTGGCCATGATATCAGGGAAACAGGGCTACCAGGGCCAAGAACTCAGGCCATCTGATTAGGTTATCCAACCCAGTGTTTATGCAACCCCCTTTGAGAGGGACACCTCCGTAGATGACATCCAGGCATTGTTTACTGCACTTTAGGAAGGGCGATTTCATGGTCTTCCTTGGTAACCTGGTTCATGGTTTAATCATTAACCTGAACACTTGTTCTGGCAGAATTTTATCAGTGCACTATTGATTGCTCTGTTCTGTGTGGGAAGACATGAAAAATAATTGCCTGCACTATCACCTTTCCCAGACTTGAAGACAGTCATAAAGTTATTCCCTTTAGCCTTGCCTTCCCTAACTCGACACTCTGTTTCCCCAGATTTCCACTGTCCATCCCCTATTCAAATGGTATTAAGCTACTGCTGTTATAAATGAAGATTCACATTTCTAATGAATTCTAGCATTTCCATCTCATCACTATCTGAGTATTAATTACAAAGGGAGGATCAGGGAATTACAAAGGGATCAGGGAAACCTTAAATCTGAGCTCACTCACTCCCCCTGCAACAGCCGCAGCAATCTGAGGCTCTGGCCTCCGGCACAGCTGCCTGCAATTCCAGACAGATCTGGCCCGTTTTCCTCCACGGGACTCCAAGTGGGCCCCCTATGCAGCCGTGCAGGAGAACCCTGTCACGACAGAGAATAAACGAGACAACAAGACAGATCTGTGCGAGGGGGACGCCGGAAGAGAAGGCAGGAAGCAGCCACTGGAATCGGATCCCCAGCTGGGCCCGAGTGTGACCCTCCGGCTCAGCTGTGGAAAGTTTTAGGTTATCCATTCTTGTTTAAATAGCAAAAGTGGGGTTTCTGTTAAAGCCAGTTAATTTTTTTTCCCCAAAGGTCACCTGAAAAGCGTATCCGAAGGGCTAGATCATGAGTCTGACATGCCAACGCAAGTCATCAGCAGATGTTGTTTCTGGAAATCTAAATTCAAACCAACCTGAAGAGAACTGCCCTTTGATCCGAGCACAGGAACAGTAATAAATTCTCTTTATCACCTGAACAGCAGGGCTCTGTCTTTTGGTCTGTGACTGCTTAGATAGCCGGCTGCCAATAACAACTCCCCTTTTCCCTTCTGAAAGGCACGGTTCTTAGCGATTGTGCGAATGTGCCCAGTGCAGGCTCGGTCACGTGGGCAACGCCATTCTCTGGGTTTGGAGGGAATCTTGTTGGCAGCTCAGCACCGGTCTGGTCATTCTTAAAGAACTGAGCTCCGAAATAACAATCGGGGCCCCTCTCAGAGGGAAAACTGGCCCTCTGAGGTGCGTTGTGCCCTGGGACTTGGGTTTGCTTTGCATGTGGTGAGGACATAGCATAGAAGACTCAGAACAGGATGGAAAATAAGCATGAGCAGCCTGAAGTCCTCCATGCATGGGCCAAGGGAGAGGGATAGAGGGATATTCTAAGACCTGACTTCTTTTTGTCCCCCCTCGTCCTGTGCCCTGAAACTTGAACCCTGGGCAGGAGCTAAAGATGGTCCATATTTCCTAAAGATCCAAGGTCAGAAGGTCAGAGAGGGATGAGGCCATCAGAAAGGAGATAACCACAGAAACCAGGTACAAGAATACATTTTTCAAGACTCTGGCATTTAGAGAACAGCAGATGGGAATTGAATAAATGGGCCAAAAACAAAACAAAAAAAAGCTTGATTTTGTATCTCTCATCATGGAAAATACTGAAATAAAGTTTCTTGTCACCGTAGCTCCCCGACAGCCCAGCACTGAGACCCCCGCCCCTCTGTCGGCCCACCTTGTGCGCAGTTTCTGCAAACTGCTGGGCGCTGTTCTTCAGGTCTTCTGTCTTCTCCTCTGCCCGGCCTAACCGCTCCCCGCGCTCGTTCAAGGCCTGGCTCGCCTTCTGCACCGCGCTGGTCACGCTGTCGGCAGCGGAGTGGAGGATGCTGTTTCCTGAAAGAAGGAAAGCAAGAGCCTCAGAAGCCGGCATGGCAGACCTACGGTGACCAGACCCTGCCGGAGGGAAGTGCCCGGGGAGAGGAGTGCGGGCCACTCCGTGGAAAGGCCCCCAGCCTCGTGTCTAGGAGACAAGCTGGCGTTTCTTCTGCTTTGGTCTGACTGACTCACTTGTAGGAAGAACAGCCACTGACTGCAGGATTTGACTGAGCAAATCCTGAATGCTGCTACGGACTCCCACCACTGACATGCCAGATGCTTCCCTCCTGCCAGTGTGCTACCTGGGGAGGCTCAACAGCACAGTGCCTATCTGGATTCAGGACCTGGATTGCAAAGGTCACTGAGAATTCTGACAAGTCCACAGAACTGTACAAGTTCAGCAAGACATATCTGGATCTTATGTGCATTTCCTTTTGACCTGTGGTTTAGGTGAACCACCACAGGAAAACTGGGGCCACAGAACTTTTCTCAATATAATGTTTCATTCTCCTTTCAACTCTTGTCCTCCACTTTACCCCTTCATCCAGCAAGTAAGCAATACCCCCGAATGTATAGCTGCACATAAGTGTTGTGCGTTAGTCTCAAAAGTTCAAAGCAGAGGTGTCGTCTCCCAGCCTGAATCCTGTACCATGGCTCGGACGGTAGGGCCTCCTTGCTTCTGATCTCTAGTACCCGGAGCCTCAGCACCACACTTAACCAGCAGGTAAAAAATGGTTGCAGAAACCAGCCCTAGAAGAAACCTGGCACTCCTAAATTCAGGAGTGATGATACCAAGAAAGTTGAAACCATCACATCTCAAAGGGTCATGCATTCCTGACATCTCATTTGCTAGAACTGGGCAGCAAAATTCATTAGTGCAGAAGTTGCAGATGTATAACCCACAGAGAACTAGCAACTTGCAAAATGACTACAAGGAGATTTATAGCTGCATTTTGTTAACATTGAGTAGAAGATATTTAATGGCATTTTATATAATAGATTTATGTCTTTGAATAAGTTTATGACATTATTTAACTTTGTACCTGGGATGGATACATCTAGCCAGACAGCTTTTAATAGAAATGCGATTTCCACTAGTCTCAGCTGCAAAGGCTTCCTAATTTCTCCTCTGTGCGAACCGTCTGTGGTTTGTGGTTTTCAGATAAAGAAAGTGCCTGGCCTGGTAGAAGCACTTAGTAAATGGTTTTCCATTTTTCTTCTTTAAGGGTAGATTTCAAGGGCTTCAACTATGCACTAAGGGAGGGAGAATGGGATTAACTCAGTGTTACTCAACTGCATCAAGCACTACATAAACCAGGATAAATTAGCACAGAGGAAGAGGGAGCAAAGTAGATGTAGCCCTGGAGAAATCTGGTTGAGCGCACGAGTTGGAATGCAAGATTGGGGTCTTCAGAACAGATTTAGGAGGAGACTTTCACATTATATTCCTGACTATGGTGAAAGCCAACCACCACTGCCTGCCATGAGAATAGCATTTTGCAAGCATAAGACACCTTCATAAATACTATGTCATTTGATTGTCACAATTCCACTAAGATTGAGCTTAGTAGAGGTTAAGAACCTTGCACAAGACTTTATCACCAGGACAATGACATGGCTAGCACAGGAACCTGGTTTTCCAATGACTTTTCTTTATTCCGTCCCTTCTTCTTTGAAGATATGTTGTTGGCCCAGGGAAAGCAATCACTATGACACATTGTGGGCAGACTCGCCTATAGGCGGGTTTTGACAAGTTATTTCCCAAGGTAACGCCTGACCGTGTCCGTCCTCAAGGTACTTCAGCAGGTAAATTAAGAGTTATTGCCCATGCCGCATTGCAAGTCAAGTGTTCCCAAGAAGGAAGAGGGCAACGGGGTGGAACAGGAAGTTGGAAAAGGGACTGGAAGGTGCAGGGGAGTGGGGAAAGAGCACAAGAAAATCTCCTTTTCCTTATATATAGCCATAGTTTAGCCACCAGAGGACAGGGAAAAGATGGGGCACAGAATCTGCAACTTCACAGCTAGGAATAGCTGCATGAAATCAAAGGAATTTTAGAATTAGATGCCATAAAATTAAGAGGGCATATAGCAAAGACCTGCCTTTTCCCATTGGAATTGACTCACATGCTCTCCTAAAAGTTACACACCTCTGTTTTTCTGGAATGAATTCACTACATATAAGCCATACTGCTTTCTTGTCATGATGTCCTTGAATTTAATCTTGTACATGATGTCAGGTAACACCACACTCAGATTTATATGATACTGTTTAGCCAACAGTCAGAGTTAGGACCAAATGTTATAACTAAAAGGGAATCAAATGCTGTCTTCACTATTCAAAGATGACATTGCTGACCACTATCAACAGGAAATCCACTTTTATTAATGGTTATTTTAGGTATAAGAATGAATTTGAACAAATCTCATTTCCTCATTTGAAAAGATCCCTCCCAGTTTCAATTCTACTTACATTTCAGGCCCAGTTAAGTCCCATCACCTTTATCAAATTTCAGGTCAATTCCATTCTCAGCCCTGTAAGTACTGGCTATATCCTTCTTGGGCGCTTAATCAAGTACAGTCATGGGCAACTCTTCTCCTACATGACTTCTTCATTTGGATTACAAACTCCCTGAGTGCACCATTTCACTCTGTTCACCATCCCCTAATCTTTAATATTTCTTCTCTTTTGACTTCGATCTCCTGCTCACTTTCTTCTCTCTGGGCTCCTCTTGTTCATACTGCAATCCTAGGTTCTGTCCTGCACTCTCTTCTCTTTTGCACTCTGCTGACTCTCCCTAGGACAATCTTATCCAGCTCGTGGCTTCAATGACCAAATCCTTATCTTGCACTAGGTTGTGCTGCTGAGCTCCAGACACGTATGTTTTCTTACTGGACAACTCCAACAGAGTGACACAAAGTCATCTCAATTCAGTACATCTAACCCTGACCACATTATCTTTCCCCTCACACCTGCTTTTCCTTTGGGCGTCCCTTCTTTGTGAATAACCTCAATATCTGCCAAGATTCTAATCCAGCCAGAAATCTGGGAGTCTAGATTCCTCCCTCACTTTAAGCTCACACAAATAAAGGTTCCTTCTTATACAACTCTCCACTCTGCCCTCTTTACCATTTGCATTGCCCCACACATACACAAAATCTTTACTACATCTCTGATGATTACTAGAAATTGCTGGTTCAAAGGGCATAAATGTTTTTGAGACTCTTAGTGTGTGTTGAAAATTGCTTCCCTGAAAGATTCACTCAACATTCCAAACTATTCACGAAGTGCCTACCATGTGCAGGGCACTGTTATGTTAATACAATTGATTGACTGACTGAGGGAGCGATGTCATTGATCTGATCTTCAGTTTTTTCCTCTGTAAAATGCAGGTCATGCCATTCACCCCACATGGCTACTATGGAGATGAAGAAACAGTGCTTGTAGGTGCTCAATGGAAGTCTCTCCGCCTCCCTTAAGACCACATCTGCTCTCTAGGGAACTTTGGGAAAATGGTGCAATCCCATGCAATTCCATTGCATGTCTCCCTCTCTTCTCTCCTATCTTGGGGCTAAGCATTTTGAGGCCTGCATGATATCCTCAGTATATATCTTTGTATATCCTGCTGTGTGTAGCACAGCATGTTGCTCAGACAGGGAGTTGAACACATATTCATTAAATCACGGCATGCTTCGTAAATAGGACACCTAACTCAAAAGTTGGGGCCTATCAGATCGAGCTGAGTTAAATCTGAAAATAAAGCAGTCTCCTGAGGCAGACAGAACAGTAATTCTCTCCAAGTAGACAGGATGCATATTAACACCAAAATTTATTCAAGCAGTCTAGAAGCTGTCAACCACAGCAAATGAAGTCAACTAATTTTTGAATTGGTCTCTGGAGAATAGAGCAGAGACCAATATTGTTTCATCAATGTTGTCTTCACATCAGTTCTACTCAATGTGTGCTTTTAAAAATATATATGCTGGCATCTTATATGTCAAGTGATTTAGAAGACTTTATTGAGAGAGTAATTTGAGATAAATACAAAAAAATAGTATTCAGTCATGTTAGTATACTTAAAAGAAATTTAAATATATAGGAAAATGAGGGAAAAGCGTGAAGTATATTGAAAAATGACAACAGCAGAGTAAGAAGAAGAGGAAAGATTTTTAGAAGCACATAAACTATATCAACAGCTCAAATAGCAACATAATTTCATTCGATCATCCTGGACTTCCGGGTATATTTGGTAATTAAAGTTTTTAACAAATGCACATATAGATATTTGAAATGTAAAATACTCATCCTGTTTGGAAAACAAGGCAGCAAGAAAATCATCTGAAAAATAAATAAATGATAAATATATGCCCACCTGTATACTCAGTGCTGAGTCAATATGCTTAGCTAATAGCATTCTTTCAAAACAGAAATTTCTTAATAATTTTGCTTGTACTACTTCCATTCCACAATGAATATAACCACTTAGGAATAAAGCCTCATGTATCTAAACTATCTTAGAGGAAAACCAATGTGAAATTATGGGAAAAAATTATAATATATATGTATAAAATGGATTTGGGTTCAAATAAACTTACAAAAATTGGCAGGGAGATTTATTTATATTAAATCTGTTAATAGACCAGGAACATTAGTAACTCTCATACAGAGTGCCCAAGGCATTCAATAATAATTTATTCTCTGAGTAGATTAAATAGACCCTATTCTGTTCTCATTTAATGTACTAATTTTTGTAGCAAAACCATTTTCATGGCTAGGGCATAGGTACAACTTAAGTTTGGTTCAGTATCAGTAACATACAAATTAATTTTACTGGATACAAAGTTGTTGTTTCTTTTCTACCTCCAATCTATGACCATTTTATTGCTCAGTGCCTCTACCACTAGAGGACACATTAGCAAAATAGAAGTTACATGGAGACCTGGTTCCCTGACAGCTTGTTCTCTTAGTCCTAAAGCCACTCAGTGCCACTTATACACTATTTTGCTCCCATCAGTGGTCAT